TGTGGAGCGTGTTTCTTGTACGAGAAAGTGTGTTTTGCATTTTTGTCTCCATTCAATGCTACGTATATTAATAGTTAATACGTAAGATGTGGTTCATTGATGATTAAAATATAAATAAATTTATATTGGAAACGTCAAACGTCCATGTGTAAAGGGGAGAAACCACTCCAAGTTATGGTTACGTCTTATGATTGGTGGTTACGTCATGGGTGTGTTTGAGTGGGGTTCATTTTATTTAGTATATTTTAAAATCTAAAACAAATTGTAAAAAATTCTCGCAGATTAATTATATCAAGTCATATAATTTTATTCAAAAAACAATTTTAAATTGGTCATTCAAAATATTTCCTTAAAATAGTTAAAGGTCGATTATTATCATACCTGCACTATATTTGTTACAGTTATCATTTAACAATAATTTGAATCGCTAATTTTTTAAAGAAAAATTCTTTCTAATGCCCTTTTTATGATATCCTTTTCAACTCTACCCTTTTGTTTTATCCATTTTTATTTTTATTCTTTTTAAATTTTTAATGACCATTTTATCCTTATTTGAAAATTGTTTTAGGTTAACGAAATGAAATATTAATATTTTTTCGCCTAAAATATTCCAAAATAAATTTTCCACAAAAAAATTTCGAAAAAAGATTTCCGCCAAAATTTTTTGATTCTTCAGCCTCTGTTACCTCCTTATCCGAATGCCCAACTCTGTTTTCAGCTTTCTTGGCCTTTCCAAAAAAAACAAGATTACATTTACGTGCATCAATTCCAAAATCAAAAGCAGAGAACACAGTAGTAGATTTTTCTGATTACCTCTTTATCCCAGTTTGTAACTAATGTGATAATGGAAAGAGACAGCACTTGAACAACTAAGGCTGATACGATTCCAAGCCAAAGTCCCTTAAATAAATTCACAAGAAAGTGATATTTTACTATGCAACTCAATTCTGTTAACATAATGCTGTAACAGTAAAAGACAAAATTTGAGTTATTAGCTTACCCGACCACCGAAATGTAAATGGAAACCAAGTAATAATCCCAGTGGAACTCCAACTAGATAATATGAGCCGAGATTCACACAAGCTCCAATCTTCTGCCA